TGAGTTTCGCCCTATAAGTCCGAAATTAATTTCGCCCAATTTTGATATGCAAAATTGAATTTCGCCCGAAACACTAACCCCGACCCTTATATAAGACACGACCTTGTTATAGATAGATTGTCGACCCTTTTAATAGTACTGTAGTAATTAGATTATTATAACGTAGCCCATTCCCCGTTAACTATTGGAGCTAAACCGGACATTATTAATCTCTCTCCCAATCAATATACAATAGTAACAATACGCTCTAAAAATGAATTGAGGAACTCCGTAATTATATAACAAATGGCTTGCTGATTTATGACCCCTGAAAATAAAATAACAAGAATGAGAAATTCCAAATCAAATAAAAAGGGTATTATTATATAAAAATGACTTTTTATTATTATATTAGCATCTTACGATTAGTGTCTTATTCTATTTTTGTAGTCAACCATTTGCTGTTCCTAGTTTTTACTGGATATAAAGGTCATTTGTTAAGTTAAAAGATACTATCTGTTCATTTAAAATATTCTTAAAGGAAAATGCGACGATATACCAGAGGCTGCTTTTTGTATTGGAGAAAAGCCCGAAGGTATAAATACATTATTTTCCTTCTAACTTGATTAAATTATTTAACACCATATTTTAATGAAAGATTTTATTGTCTAGACATTGCAAGGAAATGAAAGCTAACGAATGAGGAATAAAAATATTAGATTTATAGTGTATAATAATTTTTGTGTAAAAAAACTAAAGTATGAAAATTTTGAACACACATTAGTTGTCAAAAATAATTTAACGAAAGTTGAATGGTTCAAAAGGGTTTATGCTTTTTGCTTGTTTGTGCAAATCTCGACAGCTTAACACTCATATAATTTCTTAAAGTAGCGGGTGTAGTTATGTGGCTATCATGATAATATTTTTGCGTGGAATTATGTAATTGTTTCGGAATTTCTTTTGCAAGTAGAGTCTTTTGGATAGAATTTTGCTTCACAATTTTTTGGTTTTCAGAAATAAAATTGTATTTATTCATACTTCCAAGATATTTTTCTTTCGAATTGACCATAGAATCATATTCAAATTGATATTCACAACGAAAGTATGCGATTAGATATTTCAATAAATACTGTTTTCTCACGTCAGAAGCAAAATTAATGTAAGGTTTTTTACTTCACTGTTCAGTCGACAACCCGTTCCAAACGTAACTGGCTGACGCGGAAACGTCGCTTTGTGATAATTTTATTCTCAAATTACGCAATTCTTGGTTGTAAACTGATCTAAAAAACATAAAAGCATTTGGAAACTTTAAGCAATGTTCCTTTTTCTTTGAATGAAATAATCCACTTTCAAATCAGGTGGTGGAAATCTTTGAAACTACTTTAATGACTCGGTTAGTTTTCTTTTGTGTTGGTTTTGTCTTATTGCTTAATTTTTTTGATTTCATCTTTTAAATTTGCTTAGCGATAAAACTTTTTTTTTTTTTTTTTTTGCTCTTATATATATGATCTACGTATAAGCTTTATTAACCAAATACAGTGAAAATGTCTTTGTTTAGCGTTAATATAGATTAGTGCTTATAAATTATTGTCTGAGTGTCATTGACCACCTTACCCTTGAGTTTATTATTAATATTTAAAATAATAATTATGCAAATATTTCAAGAGTGATGGTCCAAAATAAATTATTTATCACTTCTATAAAGAATTACTAAAAAGGAAACTAAATTGAAATACCCAATTTTTGTAATACCAAATTATAAAGTCTATCTTTGTTTAAAGCAACAAGGACCTTTCTTTTAGCGTGAATAATTGCATATATAAATATATTCGATTATTCCAGGAATCTAGGAATCTAGTGCTACTTTACTGGTATTACATATCAGGTTACAATTAGGTACATACGTGCAAAAATTTATAAGTAATCGGTTATAATCAGATACATACGTACAGAAATTTATAAGTAATTAGGTCATAATTAGGTACATATGTACAAAAATTTATATGTATCAGGTTACAATCAGGTACATGCAAAAATTTATAAGTAAAATTCATAAACGATTCATAAGCAATTCATACAATTTCTGATCAAATAATCATTTTATTCTCCATATCACATAAATGATTGGCTCAAATTTTATTTAACCTAATCACTCACATTAAATTATCACGATTTTCGCCCATATGACGAAATCGGCATCAATTTTTTATCAATTGTCACAGAATTTGAGAACAGCTAAACTCAGCCAGATGTAGAAATTTTTTAATAATGATAATAATATTTATACATATACACGTATATATATTTTCATATACAGAAAATTTCCGACTATCTGAAAATAGGTCGGAAATTGTCATGATTTTACAATAGATTTTGTGCTCTGATTTTATATGTAATTAACTTACATGATTTTACGGATCTTCTACAGTGCATGTCACTTAAAAACTTCACATATTTAAAAGCTAATAACTTTTGATACAGAAGCAATACAAAAAAAAAAAATGTAATTATACTAATTTACTAAAATTTATCAGCTCTGCTTTTTTATATAATTTTAAGCTATATAATTTTAAAAGCATAGTACTGTATTTTTATATAAAATATACAAAATAAGCCTAAAATGGGACACATGTTAAAGCAATTCACCAATTAAATTGCATTAAAATTATTTAAAAACTTAAAAAATTTTAGCCAATAAATTACAAAGAAATTCAGCCATTCAAAATTTAGAAAATGAAAAAAACATCAAAAGTCAAAATTTTAAAAATGGGACATTGGAGTCTTTAAGTGATACGTACTGTATCTCCTAATACGTTACGCAGGCAAATTTGCATGCAGAATATAGTAAACACATGAAATGTACATTCGAAGATAAGAGAAAAAAACGAGCATGTGATTATTATAAATTCCTCAAAACTGTGGTTAGCATTTACATTAAAGTTAGAGTGAGTGCTAGATTTTTAGCAGGACATATATTAAAATTAGGCCAGATTCTTCATTTAACATAAGATAGCCCATAAGAGTGGGCACAAATTAGTAAAAATACAGTCTATAAAAAATAAAAGCTATTATTGCAATTTGATTGGTTAATTGGTTAATATGATGATTTTTTTTTCTTTATCTAAATTTTTTAAAAAAATAGAGGAGTGGGGTTATGTTAAACGAAGAATTAAATTGGTCTGGCCTTCCTCAAGAAAACTTTTTGTTAGAGCACAGAAGATGATTTCTTACGCTAATTTTTGAAACAATACGTTATAGCAAATCTTGATTAATTATTGGCTGATTTAGATAATTATTACTTCATGCAAGTTTCTTAAATTAGATTTCATGTAAGTTTCTCACGTGATAGGCACAGTACCGATATTGGCCAGAGTAACTAATTAAATTAATTTGACGTTGTTAAATCACTGGCGTGCAACACACATCGGTTTTGGCCAATCTATAACTCAGAAACTTGTTTATGAAACCGCTTTTGTATTATAACAAAAAAAAATTCCTCATGAAATCCTATGCTAAACCCTAATCCTAAAATTACTAATGTTTGGTGTTGAACACCAAACATAATTGTTATAATAATTAATTAAAGTTAGTACATAATTTATACGTATATTATCGGTATTGTTTTTTTGCATAATTTAATTTTTAAACAAAAAATTATTTTAGTTTCAATAATGTTAAATCACCACCAGTATATAATGTCCAAACATTAGTAATTTTAGGGTTAGGGTTAGAACTGGGATTAGGGTTTAGCATAGTTTATACCAGAATTTCATAAGGAATTTTTTGTTATAACACAAAAGCGGTTTCATAAACAAGATTCAGAACTATAGATTGGCCAATACCAATATGGTGTGATTTAACAACGTCGTTAGAATGCTTTATTCCTTTGTAATTAACTACTTTCTTAGAAAGTGATTCTTGCCAATATTCTTTAATATTATTAGGAAATTCAGAACAAATAGAGCTTCCATTTCACTAAGGATGTCCATGACTTCAAGACTTTGGACAATGATAGCGAGATGCATATGAGAACTAATATTGCTACTAGTTATATAATAATCCCAAATTTTGTTTTCTTTGTCGATTAACATTTTAATGCTTATAATTAATAAGTTGACATATTGTAGTATCTTGCAATTTTAGTAATTATATAAACTATTTTTGAGCTAAAAACTATTTTATTTAGGGTATTAAAATTAATTAAGTTAGCATCATTAAGTTAGAATTGTTGTATCGAATACTCGATTCACAGTAATTTTTCAACAAAAATTTTGATAGTCAGTTTGAAATATCTACAAATTTGAGATATCTCGAAGAATTGATAAAATCAAAATAAAATAAAAAAGCTCGACGAATTTGTTTACATTGATGAGATATCTTTGTTCAAAATTTTCAAAGTTGCTATTTTGAATTTTTCAAAGAATCTGAATGAAAGATATCTCGGCAACTATTTACCCAAATTCGATGAACTTTACTAATTAGTAGAATGGTCATAAAACTTGGGGTCAAAAACCGGTTTTTCATATCGTATATAAAAACCGGTAAATTAGCCAATCAGAATCAATTTTGGTGATGTAAGTGTGTTTTGATGATCACATGTTATAAATACTAAATCCAGATCGCTAGTTTCAAAAAATAAAAATAATACCTTAACACCACACCAGCTAAGAAACCCTAATGGTATTAGTAGGTGTTGTTTTTTTAGAAAAGTTTTATTTTATTTTAAATATACACTCATGGTCTTGATATGTTTTCTACTGTTTTTTTTTTAATTTTGCAAATAAGACTCGAACTTTCGGCGGCAAGGAAAGAAGACCAGCAAAAGACTTAGAATAGAAGTGCTTTTCGGCTTCTTCTCTATACTTTTTTTGAATAATCCCCTGTTTAAGGTCTACTGGTTCTGGAGGAGAATTAGTTATGTATCTTCCTTAAACGGTCAAAAAAACTCTAGAGATAGAAGCATTGTCAAACTGACATGTCTAGTTTTTGACGTCAAGTTGATACTCGTCTATTAAGACGTTAAATTTTACTATATACTTATATATTTTATTTTATTTTTATTTTTATTTTTATTTTTATTTTTTTTTGAAAGTTTTTGTTATTTTTAGAATTTTTGATTATTATTCTTAAAAATTTTTTTATTGAAAGCTGTCTTTCGAGATAGAACAACCTACTCCCAATAGGAGAGATGGGTTGGGGGAAACCTTCCCAACCGATGAGATACACCTCTACGTGGTGGTTGGGACAAGTAGGAGATTTAATCTCCGAAACTAAGATATCTCAAATATATGACCCATTTAATATCTCCGCTAAATCAGTTACGTACGGAATTTTAAATTTATTTCCGAATAATAATAAAAAGAAACAATTTAGAAAAAAAAATTTTTTTTTGTCTTTGTTATAATATTTTTAAAAAATAAAGGTTTATACAAATGACTTAACAATATTGTTTATCTTGTAAAACAAATTATTAAATTTCAAAATAATAAAAAAAGCGTGTTGGATGCTTAAATTGTATAAACGAAAGCAAAAAAAAAAAAAAAGCGTACAATATAATACGTAGACGGTAAAGAAAATACGATAAGATCTGAAGAACTTGAACATATGGTTTTTGAAAAACTCACGAATATTGAAAGGTAAATAAATATAGAACTGTATTTCTCAAATGATTAACGAATTAGGAAGATGAATGCATCATTTTTTTTTTCAATTTTCAATTTAGTATTTATTTTACAGATACAACGAAATCTGCCGATTTAATTAGATCCAAAATTAGCCAATCACGATTCAAGATAACCGGACAAACCTTTTTTTAACAAAGTAAATTTTCAAAAGAACTATTTACTTTGGATCTATAAATAGAAAATGATGTTATCTATGGGTGTTCTCAAGCAATTCCCTCAATGTGATTGAGGTTGTGCACAAGCATTACAAATAATCCTGATAGCAATTTGCAATTTGCGGAAGAAATACGAATATTAAGGTTTTCTCAAGCAGCTTCCTCAATGTGATTTGAAAATGATCGAGATATTGCTCAATCATTGCCATTAATTGAAGTGTCAAATAATAACGATATGCCGAAAATTCATTGTGTGAATTGCGGAATTTAAATTTTAGCCAGAGTAAACTCTAAAGAAAAAAGATGGTCTGTACCTCTATTTTATTCATCGAAATGATAACTCTCTTGATTAGTTTATTCGAATTCCGACTAATTAAAATTTTATTTTAGAAAAAACTTCCATATAACAATTTATTTAAAAAGGGCACAAAAAACCAAATCGACCGATATGAAAAACAATTTGAATGAATGCCAGTTTTAACTGATAATACACAAGTCAATTCAAAAAATCAATATATGTGAAGACGAGGAATCAAGAGTGAATCAGAATCAAAAATTATGAAGCGGTATAACAACTCTTTATGAAGCATATGTTGTATATTTTCTAAAATTATTGTCGCGCCTGAAGCTGAAAATTTTAAATACTTTAATATGAAATTTACAAAAATTTTTGGTATGAATTTTGGTCAATTTTTTTTTATAGTTAGATTAGAATTTAGGGTTAGTGTTTATAAAAAAAGAGTATAGCAGGGTTTATAGTTTTAAATCGAGACCTCTAATTTCCAAGCTTCAGCCGCGACATTTAAAAACGATGATGAAAGCAAGAGTGGAGTCAAACCAGCAAAAGTTATTATACAATTATTTATTTTAATAAATATATTTTATTATCATTAATAACTTTAGGCACTTGAATGTCTCGAAAGGTCAATCAGTCCAAAATAATAGTTATGCAAATTTTATACCTATTTAAAAAATGGTGAACGACATTAAAGATTTTTTTTTTTTTTAAAAAAAAAAACAAAATTTCTTGAGGTGGACGAAACAAAATCACTTCTATTGGCAATAATTAAACTAGTTATTTAAATAAAATAAAAGAATCGTAATTAATTTTATAAACTGTTATGTTTAAGACGTGATTCATTTACTAACTTAAAGAATCATTACCATGTTTTTGTAAATAAGATAAAATATAAAAAAATATCTAATCAAAAAAAATCGGTTAAAAAAAAAAAAAATCTTCTTTCGGAATCACATAAATTTTTAATGGACACTACAATCAGTTACGTAATCGCTGTGGTTTTTCCAACGCTTTGCAATAAAGTGTGACATCTGCAGATGATGATGTCATGTGAAATTACGCAGATTTTTTGATTCTCCTACAATTTTAAAGGGTTTAAACAAAATTTCTAATTGCTTATTGAAATATATGAATGATAGAAAATTTTAAATCTCAGAAATTCCTAACTATCATCATCACAAAAATCACAGTGTCACACTTTATTGTAAAGCGCAGGATTTTAGGTTAGTACTATATCGTGTGTATCTAAAAACTATTAGGTTCAATAAAAAATTGTTATATTTAAAGTTGAAAATTTCTTATAATAGATTTATTGTTCTTTTTAATTTAAAGTTCCTGCTAAATTCTTACGTTTTAAAATTATATCGATGAAATAAAATAAATAAAACTTTATTTAATTTAATTAAGTTTTAAATTTTGTTTGATAACTGGTTGAAATTTTAAGGCTTTGAGCCAAGTTATCTTGATAATTACCCAACCAAATTTGATAAACTTTTTTTTAATATTAATTCTACGAATATGTAGAATCGAAATAAAAAAAAAAGTTCATCGAATTTAGTTAATTATCGAGATATTTTCGTTAAACTTTGGAAATTTTTTAGTTTTTAGGGATATATATATATATATATAACAGCTGCCTTAGTATTACTGTAATTCTTTAATTATATTTCCATAAATATTTTTTTAATTTACCCATGAGAAAAATATAGTCCAAAGTGACACAGGGAAAAATCAACTATTCTATGCCTTACGTGTTAACCACGGTACAAAATCGGTGCATATACGGACATTTTCGTAATGAACGTGTCAAGAATACGTACCAAAATATGAACTTTTGGCTTGCTGCAAAAATCTGACCCATTTACAGTTTAAAATTTACAAACATACTTTACGTGGTAAAAAATGACATGAGGAAAAAAACTATTAAAGATTTCACGTGTCAAATGATGATGTTTTCCCGTTATTAATGAACGTGTCAAAATTCATAAATTTTGACTTAATAAACTGCTGCAAAATCCGGTTTATTTACAGTCTAAAATACATGGGTAACCTGTAATGGCACGAGATACCACTTTTCTTATAAGGGTAATAAAATTTATAATTCCAAAAATAATTCAAAACAAATATTAGTTTAACTAGCTCTTACTATATAATCGGATTTACAATACAAATAAATTATTAAATTTAATAATTGAATATAACTAATATATTAAAAATACTATTTAAAAGCTTCTCTTTTTTTTCTTTTCCTTTTTTTTTTTTTTTTTTGATAATACTAAAAAAATTTATTATTAATTAAGATTCATATAATAATAAAACTGGTACGTAATAGTTAAATATTTTAGGTAAAATTTTGACCAAAATCAACATTAAAATATTATAATTGATATAAAAATCTAATCATAATGATTAAATAATTCATAATAAGTTTTACCTAATTCTGAAAATTCTTAAGCATTATAATAAAAAAAAAAAACTTTCAAAGAACTTTTTTAATATGCGAGCTCATTATTACTACATTTTCCAGATATAGGTTTCAGAATACAACAAAATGCATACGTAGCTTTAGTCTTTATAATATAAAATTATATTACATTTAATACATATAATTAAGATAAATCTTATTAATGCTTTTTTTTAAAAAAAAATTTCATTTATTCGTTCGATTTTACCAAAAAGATTTTAGTGGAATTACCATTATATTGATTAAAGATTGTTGAATATCTGGATCGCAATTTGTTATGATAACAATTTTTCTCGAATAATTGTAATTATTAAAATGTATTAAAAATGCATAATTAATATTAAATAATCATGAATCAATTACTAACGCACAAGCGAAATTAATTAATCGTTTATATTTAGTACGTACGTACGTAGCGATATTTTTAATAGCTTATCCGAATATTAATGTTAAGGATCTTCGTTTGTGATTGGATGGTGACACACACCACAAATAAAAAATCAGAATGTGGATTGTGGCTGATAATCTAGAAAAGCATAATTCTGGTGAAATTATCATGATTTATGCATAAATTTAGTATACTATATTCGCATATTCGTAATATTCGTAATATTCGTAATACGTATACGTTATATATTCATTATTGTTTAACGTTAATAATTATTTATAGTACTTGGTTAGGTGATCAAAAATAAATGACACGTGTAAAAAACCAATTTATTGCTATATCGGGTTGAAATATTCTAATCAAAGATATTAATTTAGGTTCATTCAACCTTATTCAAGGATTATAGTAATTTTTTGATCAATAATTAAAATTAGAATGAAAAAAACTAATTAAGGTTAAAACCTTTTAGATAACGTGAGTTAAAATTCCAAAAAACGTAATAATCAGTAAGAAAAATTTTAACAAAAAAAAAAAAATCCTCTTTAGTAATAATCATACAACCATGCATTTTTTGAATGATTCACACGATATCATTCATTTCCTAACTATATTATATACGTAAGCACAAAAAAAAACAAAAACGTTTTTTAAAGAACAATGGTTATGTACTCATTCAAAACAATGGTTGAGTAAATTTGGAAAAAACAGGATTTTGAAGTTCGACGCGAAAAGATATTAATACAGAAACCACATGTTTATGGCTTTTTTTTTTTTTTCTATAGTTCAAGATGAGTAATATAATTTATATAATAATGTCAATTAGTAAAATTTTAGGTTAGATAATTTTATATAACATATTCGGTGTATATTTTTAAATTAAATATGATAGCAAAGAAATAATAAATATAAACATAGATGTAAGATAAAAATGAGATTATGTGTAAAAATGAATGGCAAATAAATAACGCCTCACAAATAAATTATAAAATAAAAAACGCGAAACTTACTTCTTTTGTGTTACGTTATTAATACACTTTTAAAAGTGCCAAATAATATACTAGGAACAATATTACTGCCGTGTAATTAAAGAATTAAAAAAAAGGGAACCGAAAAAAAGCAAAAGATAGAACAATAATAATCAAAATACATTTATAAGTTACTAAACGCCAATATAGTGCAACGTGTGATTATCGAGAAAGTTTTGCCTATTTGTAATATATTTATTGTAAATGAACTGCGTGTGATCATTTAATAAACGGAGTG